GCCCACAGCGACCATTTATGGGCTGGGCTGGCTCTGGGCAGCATTTTGCGCCGTGGGGTCTTGGCAGCATTGGCTGCAATTTGGTGGGGTGTCACTCTAGGTTGGTGGCAGGGCCTGTGTCCCACTTGGGGGAAGCCGAGTGTTGGTTTGTCAGCGCCAGGTCCATGGTGCCGTTTATTTTTAAATGGCCAGTGGATGTCATGGCAGCTCCTGTGTTGAGCATCTGTCCCTTGGTGGTCAGTGCGCATCATAGCTACTGGTTGGACGGATGGACACTTAGTCTTTTACATAAAGAGATTTCCGTTCTTTTGAGCCCAGTCCAATTTCTACTCTTTAGTGATGCCTTTTCCAATGACCTCGTCTCAATGAAGTCTTTTTCTAGAATGATTTCTTTATCCGATCTACGCAGCACTTATTTCTAGCTAGAAATTGCTCTCTGTCTGTCTGGTGCGGTAGCCTCCCAATGACACTAATAGGACAAGCTCCTACAAGGCAGAGACCCTACATTACAGCTTTTCTTTCCCCAGAATCTAGCTCTGTCGGGTAATCTATATTCAGAACTGTCCATGCCAACTGACATATTCCAACCTGTATGATCATGCATGTTTGTGTGTATGTGTTTTACGGTGTAGGTAATGGAGCAAATGTGCCCTAAAAGTCTCACTGTTGGAACATTACATGGTGAGTTCTGAGGATATTAAGGCATAAAGACAGCAAAGAAATACTCACAGTTCTTTTAGGCTAGGAAGGGCTTTAATAGCCTGGGGAAATTCTCCCAAGTTATTATAATTCAAGTCCCTAGGGGGGAAAAATGGGGAAAATATGTAAGAATATTGAAGAGTGGTCATAATTTAAAAGGCATTTTGGTACAAATGTATTTTTTAAAAAATATCACTTCCTCTAGATCATAATCTTTCTTTACCAACCATATTGCCATTCAACACCCGGTAGGAGTTTAATTAAATTTATTGCCCTCTAGTAGGTTACAAATTGTTGAAAATGTCACATTCATTGGGAGAAAGAAATGTCACAGGGATCTGTACTAAGAAAGTGTTCATTCTGAGTATGTTTGCATCTCAATTCTTTTCACCTAAGAGCATGGTAGCATATGATTGGCATATAAATTTCAGAATGAGAGTAAAACAAAATCAAATGCTCAGCTTCTTAGAGACCTATTTCATTTTCCTTTTCTACATAGAAAGAAAAGTAGCAAATAAAAATTTAACTGGGAAGAAGAGATTCAATTTTAATATTACTGGAATCGTATGCATGGTGCATTCAGTCTCCTGTTACACTGGTATTTACAGAAAAAAGAACTAGTTTGGAACTATCTTCTTCAAGAACTTCAACTTTCAAATAGGCATTGACGCTCACCATCCTTTAGTTCAGTGGTTCTCAACCTTCTGGCCCTTTAAATACAGTTCCTTATGTTGTGACCCAACCATAAAATTATTTTTGTTGCTACTTCATAACTGTAATGTTGCTACTGTTATGAATTGTAATGTAAATATCTGATATGCAGGATGGTCTTAGGCGACCCCTGTGAAAGGGTCGTTCGACCGCCAAAGGGGTCGCGACCCACAGGTTGAGAACCACTGCTTTAGTTGTTCAGAGAGGAAAAGTGGGTTAACCGAGTCCTACCAGTTTTCTCATTAACTGAGAGTTAACAAGAGAACTCAGTGAAACAAAATATTACAAAACCATAAGCATTCCAATCAGATGTTACTGACCCATCTACTTGGGCTGTTCTCTGAATCATTTAGTGCACCACAATGGCAAATATTATCACTCTCCAAATAAAGGCAACTAATATGAAGTAAAATAACAAAAATCAAGATCCTACTCTCGATTACACACAGCTGCACAATGTCTTTTGCTCAGTGTTGCAATATACATTTGAAACCGCCAGAACTCCCCAAAACTTTAGCAGAAACAACAACAAATGTACCCTAAGCAAACTGGAAAACTTTGTCACACTTAGCATATGAAATTCGAGATAATATTCAATCCCAGTGTTAACCATTAACCAGCCAGGCAACTGTGTTCAAGGAAAAAACAAACAAACAAAAAACTTCTCCCAGAATTAATTTGATAAGGCTCAAAATTCCATAATTATCTACCATGAATTTTAACAAAACCATAGTGTAGGAAAGGAAATACAGTTTGACAGACTGAGCTGCTTTTAACATGTACTTTTGCAAGAAATATTAAGTTCAAATTTTTGTGCCATTTTTAACCATAAACTTAGATTAGAATTCATAACTTTGTTATTTGATGGCAAGAATTTAGCCAACTATTAACATAATTATGAGTGAATGTAAGACCTTTAATTTTTTCTTTTTTTGCAATGAAATGCAAAATTGCACCTTTGACATCATAATATGATCGTCCAAAATATGAATAAACTTACAAGGTTTCCAGGTTATCTAGTCCATCAAAACAGTGTCGGCCCAGGCTTTTAATTTTATTGTTATGAAGGTGCCTATGGAAAAAAGCATCAAAATGACTTTAACATCACCCAATAGCAACTATTACAGTGATTCATATGTCGAAATTTGTATGGCTTAAAGAAATGGCCTTAGTGGTTTGGATTGGTGGATGGAGCCCAAGGACTGAAAGGTCGTGGGTTCAACTCCTGTCAAGGGCAAAGGACCTCTAGTTACTAATAAAAAAAAGTAAACAAATGGCAGAGCTAAACATTTCAACACTTGACCAATGGAAAACAAGTGGCACTGGGTAGTTATCTCGATATATACTCCAGACTGAGATTCACTGGACAGAATACCAATGACAAGGAAGATATCTCTAGTGGGAAAAGGGTGCACACATTAAAGATCCCTTAATATGCACCCTATTAATACAAACGTTTTGAGGCGCTTTTAATTATATGAAGTGAAACTTGGATGAGCTCTCCTTTGGGGAAGTGGGGGAAATGATGTGGAAGGAAGCAAGTGAGCTTACATCAAGAATCGGTACCAGGTTTTATAGGAAATGCCATTTTATTATATCCAAGTTTTCAAAGATTAGAAACACAAAACATCACACACTGTTTGAACAGAGAAGTTGGTAAAAACATAAAATAGTGCCTAGTCGGTTTGGCGTAGTGGTCCACGGGGAGCGGGCCTAAGCCGTCAGTCGGACATCCCCCAAGGGCTCCCGGACTGCAAGAGGGCGAAGGCAAGGCTGAGGGACCCCAGCACCTCTGAGTGCACAAATCTTGTGCACTGGGCCTCTAGTTTTGTATAAAAGGCAGCTCCCCCAAACCCTCGCTCTTCAGGAGCATAATCAGTAAGATACTTTCATACTAAGAACCTGTTTTGTGCTCCCAAATTAATATAACTATATGATATTAAATGGGGTGGATACTTACAGAACCACCAGACTCGACAGGTTGGTAAATGCAAAATCGGGGATGCTGGAGATTTTGTTGAGAGCCAAGGTGAGTGCCTGCAGGGTGGGCAGATTGCTGAGGGGTTGAATGGGCACCTCCGTCAGACTATTGTCGTCCAGCCACAGGTGTCGGAGCTGAGGGAGCCCCTCGAAGCTGTCCTCGGGGACTGAGGTGATGTGGTTGGCATCCAGACGCCTGGCAGAAATAAACAACCACGTTCAGTAAGGAGTCCTACTGGAATGAGGCAATCCAAGCCACACAGCTCTGTGTTTTCAAACAAAAAGGAGTTATAAAATGATCGGGCTGTGACATCTGATTTCTTTCTTTTTTTAAAAAATTGTTTAAAAAATATATTTTATTGATTTTTTATAGAGAGGAAGGGAGAGGGATAGAGAATTAGAAACATCAATGAGAGAGAAACATCAATCAGCTGCCTCCTGCACACTCCCTACTAGGGATGTGCCCGCAACCAAGGTACATGCCCTTGACCGGAATCGACCCTGGGACCCTTGAGGCTGACGCTCTATCCACTGAGCCAAACCGGTTAGGGCCTGATTTCTTTCATTCCACTAGAAGTCCTCATAAAGTCTCACAACTTTTCCAAGATCAGTGTATGTAAGTCAGTTCTCTCCCTTCCTTCATAACAAAGAAATGAATTTAAATGTGAATCCTTTAAGGCTAAAAGACCAGAAAGATTTTTTTAAAAAACCCTCACAAGGTTTAAATTGGAATATTATGTTTCAAACTATATAAAAATACAGAAAAAAAAAAACAACAGGAAATTAAGCTGAGCAAATAAAGCTGTTTTACTTACAATTTTACAGCATAACTAGTACTTGATATTAAATTTAATTGTTATTCTGACTTGGTACCAAAGGGGAAAAAATAAGCAAATATTTCAAAACAAAATTTTTACAGCAGCAAGCCATTTTAATAGATTCTTAATCCTTATTACCACTGGCCAACTTAAAAATATGGGTGTCATGTATTAGCAAGGCCACCTTGTCCTCTTCTCTTAGTACTAAGTACTTTTTAAAAAGTTAGTTTGTCAAAATAAAGTTACTAAGAAAAGGGCCAACTGTTCATAGGAAAAGTTAAACAGCTACTCTGATCAATGTTACTGTGGCTTTCAAGCTTCTTTAATTTTTCCTTTTAAAAATTAAGGACACCTTATTAGTAGGATTACTCACACTTAAAATTCAGTCCCCATCTGAAAATCTGGGAAACTAAGTCCCAAGTGCTAGGGTGGGCACAACCAGGTATAATTGTTGGAATAATGGCTTTTCAACACAAAGACAACCTGCTATTAATATGATAAGGGACAGTATAGTATGTACCCAGCAAAGCACAACTTTCTTCACGAATCCCTTGTTGATGTATCGCCACTACTGAAAGTCATACCTGACAGGCATGGACCTCCCGGTGAAAGTTAGGGAACAACTACAACAAAAAAACTGATGGAAAGTCAAAATGACAGCAAATTTTAAAAGAAATCGAGTGTGACAGCTCTCTAGTTTGGGAAACTGACTTTTAGACTGGCTTTTGTGCCTCCTTATTTCCTATGCTGCTCCAGCTTCAGATCCCACAGTAACTGTCCCCTTCCCCTCCAGGAGAGGACTGAGGGCTGCTCCCAACTAACCCCCAGGCCAGGGGCCGCTAGATTAGCCCGGGTTAAAGGCCCCAGGTCCTGGTGAGGATCAGATGGAAGCTTTCTTTTTGATAAGGCAAGATAACAGAAGGGACACTGACAATGGGAGAGCTCGGGAAACTGAGCAGCTGCCTTAAGAATCCACTTAGACTCATACTTAGGCTTGTTCATTCCTTGGGCTTTCAAGAACCTACCCCTGAGAAGAGACAGGCATCCTTTAATGTAACAGACTGGCACAGTCCTGGCTAAGGAGCTGCTTTGGAGATTTGCTTTCATGATATAGGAGTGTGTTCAATTTCAATCCCTCTCTCTCTCCTCTCTCTCGCTCTCTCTCTCTCTCTCTCTCTCTCTCTCTCTCTCTCTCACACACACACACACACACACACACACACACACTTCACAACCTTAAGGAACTTCCACCTGGGGAGAGAGAGATACTGAACATACAATCATACAGTTAACCATGTAATGTAACTAAATAGTGCAATTAAATTCTACTTGTAGCTAATTTAACTCCCTGCAATCCATTCAACACATTTCAATGGAGCATTCAGGTGGGCATTATTAGGCATTCAGGTGGGGGTGATGCACAGTGTGATAAATTTAAGAGATGATCACGGAGCGCCTAAAAAGTGCTGTGAAGTAAATAAACAGGACACTGAGATAAAGGTTAACAGAGGTTCAGAAGGAAGGGTTCAGAGAAAGAGCAAGAGGGTGCACTGTTAGAGGCAAAGGAAACACGAAGGGCAGACTCAGTAGCAGAAAGGAGTTGGGTGGGGTCCCAGCATCTTCCAGGTCAGAGTGATAAGCATGTGAGAGGAAGGGAGTGAGGGGCCACAGAGACACAGACGGGGATGGGACCAGATTATGTGGACCCATGTGGATTGTATTTTAAGTACAGATTGAAGTTCCTCCTAGTTTCTCAGTGATAGAGCAGTTTAAAAGCTAAAATTGCTTATATTATCATATTGATAACATGCATTCATATTCAACAAAATGTTTCCCCTACATACACAGAGAGATTGTCATTTAAATGTTCTGTTGAGATGCGGTAAACACTGTAATAAGGAATGTTGTCAGTACTTTTTTAACCTAAGCCCAGTATTATGTACACCATACATGCTTCTGCAGAATTCTGTGCCATATATCACCAAAAAAATGGGATAGCCTTTACTGAAAGCAAGCTAACCAGGTGAATTTTGAGCTAAAAGTTTAATTACTATATTCTAGGCAAAATAATAATACAACATTAAATATGCAGACACAATTTCCTCTGTGCTAAGAATTTCCCCAAATTGTAAAAATCACACATACATTGAGAGCAGAGGGAAGAACTCCGGAAAATGAAATCCAGAAGTTAAGTGAGAAAAAGGATTTGTGGTGACACAAATGGTTAATCCTTATACCTCAATTCACAAGCGGGTGTGGGAGGCACACCCATAAATACAATGAACTGGACTTACACTGAGATTAATGTTTCACAGATAATTCATCTTAAGAGCTGTGGCTTTGTACCAATGACCTACATTATTAATATTTATCCCTATTAATGGACAAAGAAAATGCTATAATTGATCCATTCAGGAGAGACAATAAATGGCATCAGATATCCCCCAGAGTGGGAGAGGATGTGGATTGGCTAAGGTATTCTACCATTTAAACTCCATACAATTATTATTGTATTTAAGTGTACTTCAGTTGTTAAAAGGCTAACAATGTGTTAACTAAATTCCCTTCCTATTCATCTTTAAAATATGTGTCTATTCTCTATTCGCAACAACTTTTTTTACATCTTACTGAGGCTCACATACTGTT